CTATCTTTCAGCTCAGCAGTCAGTGACGCGGGAGACGCCTGATTGCGTAGTGCGTATGGCATTAATTCTTGCATCTCACGTTGTGCTTCAATGATGTGTTTAAAGTGCTGGATGCTTCGCTCAGAACTCTGTGTGTGTTGTGGGAGAGAGAGAGAGAGAGAGAGAGAGAGAGAGAGAGAGAGAGAGAGAGAGAGAGAGAGAGAGAGAGAGAAGGGGGGAGGGGGCGAATAAGAGATTTAAAAACTGTGAGTGTATGTTTTGGGAAGGAAGGAGGGGGGTAGTTGGGGGGGGGGGGGGAAGAAGGGGGGTAGTTGGGGGGGGGGGAGAAAATGAGGGGGAAATGAATACTGTGTTTGTTACAAGCGAGGATCTGTGCTCTAGCTGCCCCATCTCCTTTAATAATCATATATTTTCTGAATTTCCAGTTGTGAGTGCTAACGGGTGACACAGTGAGGCTCTCCACTATATTATTTCTACAGTTCAGACAACACCAAATACACACGATCGAATAAGAGCGAAATCAACGATTAATTTAGTACGTCAACTGTACAAAGACTGGGACTCGTTGAAACCAACACCAAACTAAATATATCAACGTATAATACAATGGGAATATTTAGGTCGTGAGTTATTGGAAAGATGAGAGTTCAAAGACGAACACAGACACTTGTTAATCAGCCCGTCCTCATCAACACAGCCCGTCCTCATCAACACAGACCGTCCTCATCAACACAGCCCGTCCTCATCAACACAGACCGTCCTCATCAACACAGCCCGTCCTCATCAACACAGACCGTCCTCATCAACACAGACCGTCCTCATCAACACAGACCGTCCTCATCAACACAGACCGTCCTCATCAACACAGACCGTCCTCATCAACACAGCCCGTCATCATCAACACAGACCGTCCTCATCAACACAGACCGTCCTCATCAACACAGACCGTCCTCATCAACACAGCCCGTCCTCATCAACACAGACCGTCCTCATCAACACAGACCGTCCTCATCAACACAGACCGTCCTCATCAACACAGCCCGTCATCATCAACACAGACCGTCCTCATCAACACAGACCGTCCTCATCAACACAGCCCGTCCTCATCAACACAGCCCGTCCTCATCAACACCGTCCTCATCAACACAGACCGTCCTCATCAACACAGCCCGTCCTCATCAACACAGCCCGTCCTCATCAACACAGCCCGTCCTCATCAACACAGCCCGTCCTCATCAACACCGTCCTCATCAACACAGACCGTCCTCATCAACACAGCCCGTCCTCATCAACACCGTCCTCATCAACACAGACCGTCCTCATCAACACAGACCGTCCTCATCAACACAGACCGTCCTCATCAACACAGACCGTCCTCATCAACACTAGCCCGTCCTCATCAACACAGCCCGTCCTCATCAACACAGACCGTCCTCATCAACACAGACCGTCCTCATCAACACAGACCGTCCTCATCAACACAGACCGTCCTCATCAACACAGACCGTCCTCATCAACACAGACCGTCCTCATCAACACAGACCGTCCTCATCAACACAGACCGTCCTCATCAACACAGACCGTCCTCATCAACACAGCCCGTCCTCATCAACACAGACCGTCCTCATCAACACAGCCCGTCCTCATCAACACAGACCGTCCTCATCAACACAGCCCGTCCTCATCAACACACCCCGTCCTCATCAACACACCCCGTCCTCATCAACACAGACCGTCCTCATCAACACACCCCGTCCTCATCAACACAGACCGTCCTCATCAACACACCCCGTCCTCATCAACACAGCCCGTCCTCATCAACACTAGCCCGTCCTCATCAACACAGCCCGTCCTCATCAACACAGCCCGTCCTCATCAACACAGACCGTCCTCATCAACACAGCCCGTCCTCATCAACACAGACCGTCCTCATCAACACAGACCGTCCTCATCAACACTAGCCCGTCCTCATCAACACAGACCGTCCTCATCAACACAGACCGTCCTCATCAACACAGACCGTCCTCATCAACACAGCCCGTCCTCATCAACACAGCCCGTCCTCATCAACACTAGCCCGTCCTCATCAACACAGACCGTCCTCATCAACACACCCCGTCCTCATCAACACAGACCGTCCTCATCAACACAGCCCGTCCTCATCAACAAAGGCTAAATGCTCATTAATCCAGCCCCCAACCCCCCCCCCCCCTATTTAGGAATGGACAAACGCTGTACACGCGACTCTCAATTGACGCCGTACGGACGGACGAACCTTTCTCGAATTGTGCATCGCTCACGTCCTCTGTTCGAGACGCACTTCCTCAAATGCTTCACTGATGTAATACAAATAATTGCCAACACAATCTAGATGCTGAACCTAACTTGCTATAGTCCTAGCCATACAACAAATTATAATAGCAAATGTTATTAATTATTAATTAACAGTATAAACTGAGGACAAGTTGGTGTATTTATGTTCAATTTAAAAAAGGCACTTAAACCGGTATTCATAAGTATTATCTATCTCCTGCGGGCGTCAAGTTCTCCTCCTCTACTTAGCTCTTTCCTCCTCTGGGTACTATTTTTTTCATCTCTTTTCTCCTCTTCCCATAAGTATTCTCTCTCTCTCTCTCTCTCTCTCTCTCTCTCTCTCTCTCTCTCTCTCTCTCTCTCTCTCTCTCTCTCTCTCTCTCTCTCTCATTTAAACTAAGACGGATTCATAAGGGCTGTCAAATGACGTGGCTAGTGAAACTGCAAGCAAGAGCTGTTATCCTCAGCTGCTAGAGACTCATTTATTTCATGAGAATGTACTCTGAAACTAATTATCATATAGGGAACTATCATAAAGGATGTGTCATATAAGGAATCTGGTGAAACTGAAGGCAAGAGCTGTTATCCTACCTCAGCTCAGATCTCTCTCTCTCTCTCTCTCTCTCTCTCTCTCTCTCTGGGTTCAGACTGCCACGTGCATCAAGCATGTAGTATCGAGTCAAGACCAGCATCTACGCTCATAACTCACACCAGTGTTCTGCCTCTACTCACAACTCACTACTCACATTGTCTAAGACTCTGGGAGGGGGGGGGGGGGTTTCCTCACATTGACCAGGACTCTACATGTGGGTCTAGGGTACGACCTGGTCTCCTCCCATTAGGTATCAACGCTTCCTTCAGAACTCTAGCTTGGTTCCTTATTTTGGTAATTTCCCCCCATAATGTGCACCGTTTTATTTAATATACTTACAGCTTGGTCAGTAAGGTGTTGTACTGGGTTTAATCTCCCTCAGGGAGTTGATAGGCTTGAAGCCCAAACGTCCCACCAAACACGTCAGCTGAATTGTAAACAAGCGACAACTAAGTTTTGGTTGGAACAAGTTTCTGGAGTTGTTTTATATTTTATTCGCAAACACGTGATCTCTAAAACAAATCTCTGAAGACAGATGGTCGCGTTTGTTTTTATGGGTGACGTCAGACTTGGGAGGTGACGTCATGGCGCTGAGTAACCAATCCGCGCAGTTGTGCTGTGACGTCATCACCCAGAAATACATATTACCAAAGTCTGCTTAAACATTGTCTCACAGCCCGAAGGCATATTTCCACTTCCGCTCAGAGTGGCCACTGGTCACTAGGTAAACCTGTAAACTATGGCATAAACCTGGGATGATTGGGTTTACATTGACGACCTTAAAAACAAAATATAAATTGGAATATACCATATATGTACTTATTAATATACTAAATAGTGACTATAAGCAATAAGTCATATATGTACTGTCTTGTGCGAGAGCGGGTTGCCTATAGCAACCTGTTCTAGAAAAGAAAATCGTCGTTCTAGAAATTAGAAGCGGCTAGCGAAAGTGACGTACTGTCCCGTTTTCTGTCTAGACTCCTCTGGTAGGTTAGGATAAGGACACTATAAATTGACAGTTTTCTTTACGTTGGAAAGTCTTAGGATGACAGGCTGCGTATAGACCTAATCACGTCATCACTCTACACGCGTCCCAGGCAGAACGCCTAACCTAACCTAACTTAGGGGGTAACTCATAAGGTTTATACACATCGTAATGCCTGCCGCATCACACGCTGTTGATAATTCGCGTAAATAATCAATTCTGCGTAGAGTTTATACGTATTGGATATTGACCATTAACTATGGACCATTGACCATTGACCATTGACCATCGACCATTGACCATTAACCATTACGATATTTTGTGTATGGTCACACGCGGTGGAGCTGTTTAAGTCTCTTTAGTCCCGAGTAGTAACCGCCTCGGTGTCAGGCCGACATTTGGTATAAAAAAGATCATTGCAATTTTCAGTATTTTCATGTGTGTGTATGTGTATTTACTATATGTGCCGTCAGGATCGAACTCTTAGCTCTTGGACCCCGTCTTTCTAACCATTGGTTGACTACACATTTTCTACAATACTACATATTGTCTTACGCACACACTTCCCCCAGGAAAGCAGTCGGGAGCAGCTGTGTAACTCCAAGGTATCTATTTACTGCTAGGCGAACGGGAGCATCAGGGTGAAAGAATCTCTGCCCATTTATTTCCGCCTCGACCGGGAATCGAACCCGGGGCCTCAGGATTTCGATACCCGAACGCTGTTCACATAGCCGCGAGGCCCCCCCCCCTTAATTGTGTGTGTGTGTGTGTGTGTTTACCTCGACAAATATTGTGAAATCTGTTTAAATAAGACATAAGTTCCAGGTAACAATACGCACGCACTAATCAACTCACCGGAAGAACATAAACAGGCTGGTAATGGGTTATGCAAATTAGTTGGTCCATACCTGGATGTGTGCGTCGAGGCTCTGATGAGGGTGCCTGCGTCTGTCTGTTTCCGTCTCTCCTACTGCGTCTCTGTCTCTCTGCGTCTCTGTCTCTCTGTGTCTCTGTCTCTCGAGTGATTTCGATGCTTCCTCGCAAGCTATCTACCATGTTGTGAGTTTGTTTTTTTAACTCGCTCAAATAGTTCCCAGACTCACCCAG